GATTATAAAGTAGGTTAGAAAGTGATAAGCCCTATGGCGGAGGGGGGGATAATAAGGCAGAGAAAGAAATTGCAGCGTGTTGGCAGGTACTGCAGAGTTTAGCAGGGTGATCAGAGAATACCTCCCAGAGATGACGTTTCCATAAAGCCTTGGAGGTGATGGAGGGAAGGGGCTTCTAGGCAGGGGCCTGTGTGAGGGCTCCAGGTGGGAGCAGGCATGCCTGCCGCGGCCCCATGAGCAGGGAGCTGTGAGGGCTGGCTGTGAGGGTTGGCGAGGCCAGCAGGCGGAGAGTCAGGGAGGGGAGGAGGCCACAGGCCGTGGGAAGGCTGTAGGTTCTGGGGAGGGATGTGCTTTCGTCTGTCAGATGGGAGCTGTGGAAGCCTTTAGCACAGAGCACTGAGGTGGTCTTTGTCCGCAGTTTCCATTCAGCCTCTGTGTTGGGAACAGGCTGGGGGTGGAAAGAGTAAGGATGGGAACTAGGAGAACTGTCAGATTCCAGCAATGCTCCTGCCAGGATAGGGGAGTCAGCTAATGGACTGGTCAGAGGGAGGGAGAGAGAGCAGAGTAGAGGGTGCCCCGGTACTCTTGGCCTGAGGAAAAACAAAGGTGTCTTCAGAGATGGAGAAGACTGGGGGTGAAAGAGATACTTGCAGCGGGGCGGGACACAGAGGGGAGACAGCAGGAACAAAAATTGAAACTGGAGCTAGGTGTGGGGCCTGTTAAGTGGGAGGTGTCTCTTAGGCGCCCAGCAGGGGTGTAGGTGTCCAGGGATAGGTGTCAAGTGGTGAGGAGTTTCAGAGTGGTCCCGTTCGTAGATTATGGAGTCCCAGGAGTGGTGGGGGCCCCAAGGGAGAGGGTGGGTGCAGAAGAGGAGGGCTGGCAGAGCCTTGGCCTCTCCTGTATTCACAAGTAGGACTGCCACCCAAAACAGAGAAGGGCTGGCAGGTGAGAGGAGTGGGGAGCCCAGAAGCCAGGGCAGTGGTCCAAGGAGAGAGAACCAAGGTGTCTGCTGACCACTGAGCAGAGACCACTGGCTTTAGCACCATGGAGGCCATGAGTGTGGGGGAGGGTCTGGTTGGCAGGGTTTGAGATGGGAGGAAGGGTGTCCTGATGGCATGTTGGGGTGGCTTTGCATGGAGACAGACAGGAGGCCACAGCTGGAGGAGGAAGTGGGGTGAAGGGTCTTTGTTTTTTTTAAAGATGGGAGACTTATCCCATGGGTACACTGATGCGGATGGTCCAGGACGTGAGGAAAATTAGAGTCTCTGACCCAGAGGCAGGAGGCAGATGGTAGGGATGGGGGGCAGTTCAGGGTTTCTCAGCCTCAGCACCCCTGGCATTTTGAATTGATGGCTCTTTGCTGTTTGGGGGGTGAGTGGTTGTCCTGTGCATTTAGGACGTGGAGCAGTGTCTTTGGCCTCTGCCCCTCCAGTCGACAGCAGCCAACCCAGTCTGCAAGCATGGCCAGATGTCCCCTGGGGTGGGGGCGTAGTGGGGGGTGTGCAGATGGCATCGTGCCATTGAGAAACACTGGTGTGATTGCTGCATCGTGGGAACATTCTGTTCTGGTTGCTTTTATTTTCTCAGCCACAGGGTCAGTGGCAGGCTCCTCGGGCTAAGAGCAAGAGGGGACAGGAGAGAAGACATGCCAGGTGTCACCTGGTGGGCAGTGCAGGGCAATGGGGCGGGAGCTTTGAGATCCTTGGGCTTGGATGCACAGGGAGACGGAGGCCAGGCGGATTCAGGTCACCGGCAGCACGTATGCTGAGTAAGGGGGTGGCTAGGGTCTGGATAGGGGCTAGGGTGCGGGCTGCAGGGTCAGTGGTTGGTTTGGGGTTCGGGCGCCAGGAGGGGGCGCTGGAGCAGGATGCGTGGTGGTGGAGAGTGGGTGTCTGAGAGGCTCTGTCTAGAGGTAAGGGGCTTTGGAAGTGGGAGCAGGTACAAGGCAGGATGGAGGAGGAGGTCTTTAGAGGGAGCCGGCCAAAGGATCCCGAGCCAGGGCGCTAGAGATCTGGTGTTCTTTAAGGACATGCCTGTCTTTAGGGGGACGGGGCAGAGAACGCTCTCGCCTCCGGGAGGGGATGGCCGTATCAGGGAGTGACCAGCTCCTCCCAGTGTGCCGGAAGTTTCCCCTTGAGCACCCAAGGCCTCCATCGCAGTCAGCCTCCTTGTCCGAAGGGAGGTGCTCCCTGCCTTTGAAAAGGCCAGCCTGTGGGTGTGGGGCTGCGATGGTCCGGCATGTGAGTGGAGGTGCGGGGAGCCCCCCGGCCTGCCCTGACCCTGTGTCCCTCCCCAGGTGTGATGGTCGGCTCCCACGTGGACATGGCGCCGGCCTCGACCGCCGAGGGGCCTGGGGAGAAACCCGGGCCCGCGGCCCCTGCCCCGCCGGCGCAGTATGAGTGTGGGGAGTGCGGCAAGTCCTTCCGCTGGTCGTCCCGCCTGCTGCACCACCAGCGCACGCACACGGGCGAGCGGCCCTACAAGTGCCCCGACTGCCCGAAGGCCTTCAAGGGCTCGTCAGCGCTGCTCTACCACCAGCGGGGCCACACGGGCGAGAGGCCCTACCAGTGCCCCGACTGCCCCAAGGCCTTCAAGCGCTCGTCGCTGCTGCAGATCCACCGCAGCGNGCTGCTCGCCATCCACCAGCGCGTGCACACGGGCCTGCGCGCCTTCACGTGCGGCCAGTGCGGCCTCACCTTCAAGTGGTCCTCGCACTACCAGTACCACCTGCGGCTGCACTCGGGCGAGCGGCCCTACGCCTGCGGCGAGTGTGGCAAGGCCTTCCGCAACACGTCGTGCCTGCGGCGCCACCGGCACGTGCACACGGGCGAGCGGCCCCACGCCTGCGGCGTGTGCGGCAAAAGCTTCGCACAGACCTCCAACCTGCGGCAGCACCAGCGCGTGCACACGGGCGAGCGGCCCTTCCGCTGCCCGCTCTGCCCCAAGACCTTCACGCACTCCTCCAACCTGCTGCTGCACCAGCGCACGCACTCGGCCGAGCGGCCCTTCGCCTGCCCGGTCTGTGGCCGCAGCTTCGTCATGGCCGCCTACCTGCAGCGGCACCTGAGGACGCATGCCCCCGCGGCCGGCCCCCAGCCCCAGGCCCCGCTGGCCGCCGCCCCTGCCCCGTCGGCCACCCAGGATGTGCACGTCCTCCCCCACCTCCAGGCCACACTCTCCCTAGAGGTGGCTGGGGGGACAGCCCCGGCCGCTGCCCCCGGCCCCGCCGCTCCCAACTCGCAAACGTTTCTCCTGGTGCAGACAGCTCAGGGCCTGCAGCTGATCCCCAGCAGCGTCCAGCCGCCCACGCCCCCGCCCCCGCCCGCGCCACCCAAACTCATCTTGCTGCCCTCCTCCAGCCCCGCTGGGGGGGGCAGCTGTGCCCGGCAGGGCCTGCGGGCCGCGGGGAAAGCTGGGCCGGGCGCTGGAGTAGTCTGGCTGCCAGGCTCTGGGGGTTTAGGCGTGCAGAGAGGAAGCAACGCTGGGGCGAACGTGGGAGGGCAGAGCCTCATAGTTCTGCAGAACGTGGCGGGTGGGGAGACAGGCCCGCAGGAAGTGAGTGGGGTTCAGCTCCAGCCCCTTCGTCCAGCTCCTGAACTGACCACCGTCCAGCTCCAGCCGGCCCAGGAGGTGACCACGGTCCAGCTCCAGCCTGTGACGGGTCCGCTGTCCAGTTCCAGCGGGGGAGCCGTGACCACCGAGGCGCCTAATCTGCTGGTGGTTCAGAGCGGGGCGCCCGAGGAGTTGCTGGCGGACCCTGGCCCAGGGGAGTCTGGCGAGGGCGAGGCCGGCCCCGGGGTGGTCCCAGATGTGCTCTTTGAGACACTGCAGACGGAGGAGGGGCTGCAGAGCGTGCTGGTGTTGAGCGGGGCCGACGGGGAGCAGACCCAGCTGTGTGTGCAGGAGGTAGAGACCTTACCGTCGGGGCTGGCCGAGCCGCCCGCCTCCGGCCCGCCCGGACAGAAGCTGCTGATTATCCGCAGCGCCCCGGCCGCAGAGCTGCTGGAGAGCGGCAGCGCTGGGGGGGGCGCCGCTGCGCTGCAGCTGCTGGCGCCCCCACCGCCTGGCCCAGCCTCTGCTCCCGCGGGCATTCCTGCGGCCCCGGGCCCCCAGATGGTACAAGTGGTCCCCGCAGGAGCAGCACCCGGGGGCGTGGCCCCTCAGGGCCTGCCCTCCATCCAGATTGTCCAGACTCTGCCCGCGGTCCAGCTGGTGCACACGTTTTGAGTCGGACCACCGGTACCTCTTTCCGCCCCACACAGAGGCCCCGACCCCATCTCCGCCTGAGCTGGGCTGAGGGGAGGGGAGCTGCAGGCTGGGCTTGCTAATAAAGACCAGAATCCCCTCTCGTGTGTTTTTTCTTGGTGGGGTGGGAGGTCAATGACCATAGCCACCACTTGGGATCTGGGGAGTCTCCTGCTTCCTGGTTCGCAGGTGACTTTGCGTCTTGGGGCCAGCCGCTGCTCCTATGTGGGGGCCCTGTTTATCCATTTTTTAAGAAGAGGGACGCAACGGTCACTATGGGGGAGGCGCTGGAATCTGGAATCCTGGTTCTGCCGCTTGTTCTCTGTAAGTCACCGCACAGAAAAATAGGTGGATGGCGGAAATGCGTATCCCGACTGTCACTGACAACCCGGGTGGGCAGTTTGGGAACCTGTGGGTCTGAGATGCTGTCGCGGCCGCGCCCGCGGAAGCCCGGGAGCCAGTGGGAATCAAGCCGCCTTCGCGGCCCCACCCCCGCGCTCAGGTCGCTTAGCAACCAGGGGCCGTTGGGAAGCCGGCGGAGCGCGCGCTGGGTAAGCCCGGCTGCCCGCCCCCGACTCTGTCCAAAGCTCCAGGCCCTTCCGTCCGGCCCCCTCCCCTGCCAGCGTCCTGCACGCCCCGCTCTCCCCGCTGCTCCTCTCGGCTCTTAACCCGTCCGGGCAGACGCTTGGCAACGGTTGCTAAGGCCGAGAGCAGGCCCGCCCCGCCCCCAGTGCGCGGGTCTGACGTCACTTCCGCCGGCGACCCCTCCCCGACCCGGCCCCCCCGCCCCCCGCACCTTGTCAAAAGCTGAGCGACCCACAGAGGTGTCTGCAAGTCCTCATTACTGCGACAGGCGCTGCTCGGGGGCGGCCGGGGGGCAGAGGCGCTCTGGGCGCTGGGGGCGGGGAGCGCGGTCTTTTCCCTGGCTGGGGGGTTCACTCACCCCCATGGCAGCCGCGGGGCCTGGAGGCAGCGCGGTGTTGGCAGGTGTTGGCGGGCACCAGGGTTTTAGGCGTGGGTCGCCAAATACTGCCGGGGCGGGCTTCACCCGAGAGGCTTTCGGAAGGTCGCTGATTGACCGGGAAGTCTGTCGTGTCTCGGCCCTCGCCTAGAGGCCGCTAGCATCCCGCGTCCTGACCTGGACACGCTGCCGCTGGTGGCCCGCAGCTCTGGGGCGCTTTGGGGGGCAAGAGGTGCCCTCCTGACACTGACCTGCTTGTTTTCGCCAGGTGCACGCCTGCTCCTTTGGGGGCGCGCGACCTGGGGGCTGCCATGGCCCCCAGCCACCTGTCGGTGCGGGAGATGAGGGAAGATGAGAAACCCTTAGTGCTGGAGATGCTGAAGGTGAGAGCCATTAGCAGCGCCACCGAGCCCGGGGGCGTGGGACCGAGGGTACCACTCGGGGTGGGGGGCGGGACCCTAGAGAGCCCGGGAGGGGGTGGGGACAGAATGGGGGCACCAATGAGCTTGGGAGGGGCGGGGACAGAATGAGGGGCACCAGGGAGCCCGGGAGGGGGCGGGGTGGCATTCCGAGTGGGTTCAGCCACCCTCCTGAGCCAGCGGTAACCATGGAGAGCAATCTTTTGCTCCTAAGACTCTTCCAGTCTTGGACCCTCCTGTCTCTAGTGCCTTCTCCCTAACCTGGGGATGGAGAACGGTTTTGTGTGTGTGTGTGTATGTGTGTGTGTGTGGCTATGCCACATGGCACGCAGGATGTTAGTGTTCCCCCACCATGGATCCAAGCCGTGCCCTTCGCAGTACAAGCCCTTCCATCTTCCCACTTCCCCTCAGCCCTATGACCCAGCCTCCTACTCCTCCAAGCCTGGCCCTTGAGAACCTCGAGGCCCCTTCCAGCTTCCTCTCTTGGTGGGGCTGCTCCTCTGTCCAGCCTCCCGTGGTGCCTCACGCCTGCAACTCCACTGAACCCGGAGCGCCCACCATTCCTAATTCACCCGCTCCCTCATTCAGAGCCCAGTGTGCCAGCCAGCAGGTGTGTTCACGCCGTGGCACGCCTGCCACAAGCCCTGGCTCACTGCTGTCCCCTCCGATCGCTCCCACCCTGGGCAGGGCCTGCCTCCGCCCCCACTGCCTGCTGCCCCCGGGAGCTTCCATGCTGACTGCCCCTCCTGCCTGCAGGCTGGTGTGAAGGACACGGAGAACCGCGTGGCCCTTCATGCGCTGACCCGGCCGCCGGCCCTGCTCCTCCTGGCTGCGGCCAGCAGCGGCCTTCGCTTCGTCCTGGCCTCCTTTGCCCTGGCCCTCCTCCTGCCCGTGTTCCTGGCTGTGGCGGCCATGAAGCTGGGCCTGCGGGCCCGCTGGGGCTCGCTGCCCCCGCCGGGTGGCCTCGGGGGGCCCTGGGTGGCAGTGCGGGGCTCGGGGGACGTGTGCGGGGTCCTGGCCCTAGCCCCAGGCTCCGGTGCCGGGGACGGGGCCCGGGTCACCCGCCTCTCAGTGTCCCGCTGGCACCGCCGCCGAGGCGTCGGCAGGCGCCTGCTGGCCTTTGCCGAGGCCCGGGCGCGAGCCTGGGCCGGCGGCATGGGGGAGCCCCGGGCGCGCCTCGTGGTCCCGGTGGCCGTGGCTGCGTGGGGTGTGGCCGGGCTGCTGGAGGGCTGTGGCTACCAGGCCGAGGGGAGCTGGGGCTGCATGGGCTACACGCTGGTGCGGGAGTTCAGCAAGGAACTGTGACTCCACCCCCGGGAGGGAGGACAGGCAGCACTCAGCACCCACTGTGTGCAGGCACTTCCACACCTTCCCTCCCTGAACCCCCACCCACCCAGGGCCCAGCAGAGGGCAAGAGACCCTGCCACAGCCTGACACCCGTCCCTAGTGTTTGAACTTCTTAGAGAGGTCAACCCGTCCAAGCCCTGCCTCAGATTCTGTCTGCACTGAGAAATCTCTTTGTCTGTCTGCCAAGCCTGTGTCGCTTGCGCTATGACATGTGGCAGGAGAGGAAGCCAAGCAAGTATGCCCCACACCCGGGCTAGGACTGGGGCAGGGACAAGGGCCACCCCCACCCCGGGGCAGTGGGTGGGGGGCGATGCCCTTGCTTGCAGGGGGTGCGGCTGTGGAGGCAGAAGGGGCTGAGTGCAGCCTCTGCAGGGGAGGGTTGTCTGCCTGGAGAGAGCCCCAGGGAGGGGGTGGTGGGCACAGGGCTGCCCGGCCAGCCCCCCTCCCCAGGAAGGTGGGAGCCCAGAGGGGCGGCCAGACCCATCTGGTTTTTTACACCCGTTTGTTAATAAAGCCTGTAACCGCTGCGCGCCCGTTTCTCTCTGATGCCTTTTCCAGTCTGCCTCTGCACTCACTTCTGTCTGGCCCCTCCTTCACGAGGTTGACAGTAATTGTTGGGGGGGGGGAGTGTGCTGGACTGGGGGCAGGGGAGGCAATGAGCTCAGGCAGCCCAGCTCCCTGCCAGCCCTCTGACTCACGCTCCCCATTACCGAATTTTTTCCGCCTCACAGCTGCTTAGTGCAGAGAGAGGGAAAGAGTGCGTTCCTGTGTGTGTGCGTGTGTGTGTCTGCAGTCTCCTTCCCCCACCCAAGCCTTGATACTTGGCCCTCTTGACCCCTGACCCCAGTTTTCTCGGGAGACACCCAGGGGGCTGATGACTTCTGCCCACAAATCCACCAGGGGGAATGGAGTCTCTCTGTCTCCTTTCCCAGTCCAGGAAGTCCTTCCTGGTGTCTGCCCGCAAGCTCTCTTGCTGCACCAGGTCCCCAACCCCGGCAGCTGATGTGAGCCCACCCTCAAAGCCCTCTGCTTCCGGCACGCCACCCTGGTGGGATAGAAGAGGCAGANGGGGGGGGGGGGGGGGTGGGGGGCAGGCACAGGACATCTGGCTGCCTCTGATTCTCCAGGGACCCGGCCTCAGGCACCCTGGGTCCCACCCTCTCAGGAGACCCCAGGACTTCCTCTCCCCTCCATGAGCCCTGACCCTGCAAAGTGGGGGTTCACCCATCATTCACCTTTAGCCAGGCCCCCAGGGGGGAGCGCCAAGGGCCTGGCCCCCTGCCCAGACCTGAGGCCTCCGGGCTCCGCCCATCCCAAGGACCTGAGCCTTGGCCAGGCGCTGGGCCCGAGTCCTCCTTCCCGGCGGCAGGGTTTCTGGTTCAGAGGAGCGAGGAGGACCTCACTGCCTCACTCCTCCAACCTCCCTTCCAGTGGCTCTGATGGGGACCCAGGCTGTTGGTAAGTGGCCTCAAACACTTCTCCCGTCGGCTCGCTCAGCTCCAGGCCCTCCCCATGCCTGGCCCAGGCTCACCCTCCCTTGGACCCTGGCCACCCGCATGTGCCCACGACCCCCACAGCACTTCCGCAGGACCACGCGGTCACCCAGCCTCCTGCTTCCTAAGGGGCTCCTGGTCACGCCCCTGCAGGACAGCCCCCAGCCCCTGTCCTCCCTGCCGGCCCCGGGATCTGCAAGGTGTCAGCCTCTCCTCTGTCCCACGCAGAGCGGCTGCGTCTGGCCGACGGGCCCCATGGGTGCGCCGGCCGCCTGGAGGTGTGGCATGGCGGGCGCTGGGGCACTGTGTGTGACGACGGCTGGGACCTGCGGGACGCTGCCGTGGCCTGCCGGGAGCTGGGATGCGGGGGTGCGCTGGCCGCCCCTGGGGGCGCCTTCTTCGGGGAGGGCGCAGGCCCCGTGTGGCTGAGCGAACTGGCCTGCCGGGGTGGGGAGCGACAGCTGGGCCTCTGCCCCCACCGGGGCTGGAAGGCTCACATCTGCTCACACGAGGAGGACGCGGGGGTCGTCTGTGCAGGTAAGGGGTCCTCAACCTCCTCAATGCCCAGGGACCCTCAGCCCAGTAAGTCTGAGCATCCAGAAGTCAAGACACCCTACCCCTGCCTCACTCGGGGCCTGCCCTCTCCATAGCACTGGGGTGTTGGACGTCAGGGATATCAAAGAACATCCTCCAAACTATTTGGAAGAACTTTAAGACTGATAAAGCCAGCAGCTCTGTAAAGAACAACTATGAAGTTTATCATGAACTCACACGGGGAACTCATACAGACAGAATGGATCAGGCAGGTGGCGAGCCAGAGTTATTTATTTGCACGTGTGCTTCCCACCACCTAAAGAGGTGCAGGAAGACTTCCAGGGGCCAGAGCTGGTCTGCACAGACTGGAACTGGGGGTTGTCCCTCCCCTCAGGGGGTCTCCTGACTATTATTCTTCATGGGCCACTTATCAACTATGTCAGCAAAAACCATCTGTTTTCACAGAGAAGAAGGCAAGGGTAAAAACTGATAGGGAACCTACTTGGCTTGGGTGAAACTCAGCCACGCCGGGTGGGGTGGGGCAGCCCAGGCCTGAGACGGGCCCACAGGAGGGAGCGTGCCCTCCAGCCACATGCTGCTGTCCCCAAGGCCAGCGTGGGACGGACTCCAGGGACCGCGACGACCCACCTTCAGTCCTGGATGGGGACCCCTGGCCGGGGCTGGCAGGGGAGCTGAGCCCCAGCTCTGAGGAGC